TCTCTCTGTGTGTGTGTGTGTGTGTGTGTGTGTGTGTGTCTACGTAGACAAAGAAGTTGGCTGAGCCCTACGCGAGAAAGGGAGCCACAGAATCTCTCTCTCTCTCTCTCTCTCTCTCTCTCTCTCTTTGTACACCAAAAATCGCATCCCAAACGACAGGGTCGAGACCGGGAAAAAAGCGCAAGCTTACCCTGACGCACCACCCGTCAGTTACCCAAGACAACGAACAAAGAAAAGCCGTCAACTTACCTTGTGGTGCCTGCCCCTCCTGTCAGTCCACCACGCCCAGCTTTGCAGAAAAAAAAGGAACGAGAAAAGCAAAGAAAAAAGCGCAACAGGGTCTAGGTCCAAAAACAAAACAGACCGTGGCCCAGACAGAAACCTTACCAGGTCGAACTCTTCCCAAACCGCTCCCCTGTCTCATTAGTCCCCGGGTCTTAAATGGCCCGCTATGCGAGACCCGGTTAGTCTTCATAAAGATAGAGAAGACAACAGGCTTTGTCACAATATGCAGAAGAATCAAGGGCTTCTGTTATATTCTGACTTCCTGGAAGACGAGGAGCTGAACCGACATCAGGGTTCGTAATATACAAAAGGTTTCATCAAACTTACATGACATAGACGAATCAAGGCCTGTTTTGAACTCTGGACTTCCATTAGAAAAGGCGCTTAAGACCCCTCAGGCTAAGTTAGGTTTCATACCGAGGAGTCCCTCGATGGAACTCGGAAGTGTTTTCTTAAGTCTTTTTTTTTAAGGGGGGTTGAAGAGAAAAACGAACACTTTGAGCTGTTTTCCAGAGGATCTTGGTCGATGACGCCTCGCTCATAATGAAAGAAAGGCATTCTACCGTTTTCCACGATGCAGACCCCAAATTCGAATTCCAGGGTCAAGGTCTCCGGCCAAGGGAGGCCAAGTCGCGGTCAGTTTGCAGAAGAGCCACAGTCAGGGGTACCTTAGGAGTCGAGTCCAACAGGCACCCGGTAAACAGACACATCCAGAAGGCAAAAGTTGCATTCTGTAAGCGAAAGCCACGTCTCTTATTGAAAAGTCGTGTCCGACAAGCGAAGGACACGTCTCCCAAAGGCAAAAGTCGTGTCCCAAAGGCAGGAGTCGCATCCCACAGTAAAAAAAAAGTCATGTTCCACAGATGAAAGGTCGTGACTCACGGACTCGAGCAGCAGCACACCAATGAAAATTCGGGAAAAGTACCCGGCCTTGACATTCTGAAGCAAGCAGGCCGTGGGCATGTGGTACCACCGTACCAGTACCAAGTCAAGCCAAAGGAAGCAGAGGCTGGGACGAGTTGAGGCTCAGTCCAAGTCAATATAAGGACTGGCAAGCCACATTTCAGGGAGATTGCTCATTCCTGAGAAGTCTGGAAATGCTGCTGAAGCGCTTGTGCGCTATCTGCGAGTAGCATGCGCGTGAGAGCCCTGCTGGGCAGCGCTGCACGGAGAGGGAAGGCGGCCATAGCCGCATAAGTTAGCAGTAGGGATAGAGCTGAGTAGCAGCGGATGTATTCATAGTCAAGACTCTCAAGTAGAGAGAGAGAGAGAGAGAGAGAGAGAGAGAGAGAGAGAGAGAGAGAGAGAG